GAAAAAAATTGATGGGGGGAAAGGAGAAAGTTCCAGATGCCTTCCCCTTTTTCTCTTTTTGTTCTTTTCTTTTTTCTTTTTTTTTTTAGGTTTGGTATTTGGGTTTGGATAATTTAGTGGCTTTTGGTTTTTTTGGGTTTGGATAACGAGCTCAATTGAAATGGGTTAGTGTTGAGTTTACAAATTTGATGAATTTCACCTTTAAACTTTTGATTCTTTCAATTAAGTCCTTTCTCGAGTTTACTTTCCCATTTCCTTCTTGAATTTCCCCTTTTTGCACCTGAAAGAAAAATGAAGATGTATTAGTTAAAGAAAAGAGAGATTGTCATATTTTCATATTTTTTGATTTTTTGATTTTTTTAATTAATTTTTGTGATTAATATATATTTTTTTGTTTTTTTTTTATGTGAAAAGTTTAAATAAGCTGAATGAAAATTCGGGTTATGATAGTAACATGTAAAGCTAAAAGTAAAACTAATTTGCAAAGTAGAAGTGAGGAAGCAATTGAAATGATTGTGATGAGTTTACCATTCAAAGCTAGACCTCAGTTGCAAGGATTTTTTTTCATAAAAATGTAATTGAGAAATTGACAAAACCTAAAAAGAGTAAGAAAAATAACTTTAGGTCATCTCTTTTATAGTTTAATTTCTATTGTAATGTCTTCTACCGTCATAAATAATTATTTGACAACATTATTACCAAATGGATAAGATATATTCTTTTGATTAATAAAAAATTGGAGTGCAAAACTAAGATTAATTATAACTTTTAGAAATAAATCAAGAACCATACATGGTTGGATTATCATGTTAAAATGCTAGAAGTATTATAGCATACAAAATGTAAATTCTAACATCACATATGAGATAGAAACCAAAAATCATATTAGTCCCTTAAATACTCATCCTCCTAAAACATTGAACCAAAGGATTTTGAATAAGATAATTTTAAAATATTCTTAAAAACTTTTGGTATTCATCTTCAGGAAGATGAAATCTCCTTCATAACAATCTAATTTTTTCAAATAAGCTTGATATTTCAAACTATCATATCCTTCGCCCAACCATACTTCATATGCCTAAGGGAAAAAATTAATTATAAATACTAAAAAAGGGCGCATGCCAAATGTGAAAAAGTTAAAATATTAGCTATGCTCATTATGCCTGCTCACTCACAGCAAATATTAGTTGTGCTCACCATGCCTAAGCTGCTGAAAGAAACTTGTCCTCCAAAATACTTGCAAATTCTTTAACTTCAAAAACCAATGGCTTCTCCATCAAATTTGAGAAGAAATGCCAACATGATCAACTCAGAAAGTGAATTTATGTGATCTTTCTCTCAAAGAACTCAGATCAACCTTCAAATGTTATTGAAACAAAATAAACTTCAAAGGTCTATTAGATTTTTTAGAGGTAGAATTACATTGATTTTACATTTGTAACATGAGTAAAGAAACAAAAAGACTACATAACTGTTTAAAAAAAATAAAAAATGGTAGTTTTTCTTTGCACACTTAAAGTGATATTTAGTTATTTATTATTTAATTATAAATAAAGAGTTACCCACTTCAGTAATAATATTGAAAATTATGCTAAAAAATTCATAAAAGATTAGTAAGTCATGAAATTAAATGTAAAATTGATGTAATAAATGATATGCATTAAGTAGGATTAAGGATTCATATCACAAAAAGTACACTAATGTGCCCAACCACCACATAATCTCTTAAATTGCTAACAGATATAAGGTTTCTTTAACCTGTCTTTTAAGGACAAAAATTAAATGTATATTAAATATATTTTTTATTATAAATTTACTTTAATAAA